TTCTGTAGCATAACATGCATGGGTGTCCTCTTGCTGCCATTTTGACAGTAAATGAATTTCACGGTTGTGGAGTTATGAGATATTGGTTCACACTCAGGATGGGATGGAGAAAGGAAACTCACAATGTGCTCACTGTATACATATTGTATTGGATGTACAATGCAGCTTGTTGCTGGGTTGGTAGCATGGTAATAAGCGTTGAGTAGAGAGAGCTGGGTGGTGAGGGTGCCCAGAGTGAGGGCACGAGGCTTGAGGGACGCCAAGGTCGCTGGCGGGAGCGGCAGCCGCACGGCTGGCGCGGAGGAGGTGGTGTTGCTTGCTGGTGGCACTGTGTAGAAAGAAGGTGGTCACAGCGGTGTCAGGCCTTATAAGGCGGGAGTAGGCGTGGGTAGATAGTTGACCCCCGCTCCGTGAGCGGCGCTGGAGGCGTAGGCTGGAGAATTCGAGAAGGTTCGATGCTTGTAGGGGAGGAATCCACTACACGGTCACGTGACGTAAACAAGCACCGAGTGTGAGCTTATTCTAAGGCCAGACTTGACCATCACTGGAGCAGGTTCCAAAATATTTAGAAGCCGGTGCATGCCCAGTATCTGCCAACAGTGCATAACAGAGATGTGACCGACCGACCAAGCAGCTAACGAGCGGATCAGTGGCGAAGAGGATAAAAGTAAAAGCGTGACTACAGATGCACACACGCAGCAGATGCAGGGAGTCGGTTGTTAAGCTAGAGTGATGAGATCCATAATGTTGGGAAAGACTTCAGTAGCTCCATTCCATCCTCTTGGCATGCCAAGTAGCCCTGAAAAAGGAAATTTAGGTCCAAACATCCAGTACCTTGAGTAATTGTGTTAAGCAGGAGAGCCCCGGCATAAAACCATGTTAACAATCCTTTACAAGGTTGTTTCATTTCTCTAACACAATCACAGCAGATGTTGTTAACAAAAGTTTACACACTTTTTTGCTAACCATATATATATGTATTCGCTATTTAGCTTTAATCTTTATTAAAGACATCTTCAGGTCATAAGACCCACATAACAAAAGAATGGAGGAAACTGGAGCGGGCCTATTGGCCCATACTGGACAGTCCCGTTTACACCCAGCCCCTATTGCTCATATACCCATCCAACCTATGTTTAAAATTATCCAGCGTATTCGAGTTAATGGTGATGTTTGGTAACTTGTTCCACTCATCCACTACACTTATTTCAAACCAGTGTTTACCTATCTCGCGCCCAAATCTAAATTTGTCTTATTAAAAACCATTGCTACGGGTTCGTTTCTGGTTGGATTGTTCGAGTACCTTTGTTTAGCGGACTTCCATTTATACACCTCGATCACATCGCCCCTCACTCTATGTCTCTCGAGGGAGTGCAAATTATGATGCTTTAATCTGTCTGTGCATTCAAGGTTCCTAATGCCCAGGATTAGTCTTGTCATTCTTCTCTGAATTTTTTCTAGGAATTCTATATCCATTCTGTAGTACGGTGACCAGAGGACAGAACTGAACTGCATAATCCAAGTGAGGCCTCACGACCGCAAACCATAGGTTTAGGATATCCTCACTAGTCTTGTAAATAACACTCCTTTGCATGAACCCAAGTACTTTGTTAGCCTTGTTTCAAGCAAATACACATTGTTGTCTTGGTTTAAGATTCCTACTTATCATTATACAGTACTCCAAAATCTTTCTCACAGTCGGATTTCTCTATAACAACGTTGTTCATCTGATATCTGGTTTCTTCTTGACTAAATACAGTTGCTCCTCGACTTACGACAGGCTTAGGGATCCAAATCCAGGTCGTAAATCGAAAATGCGAAGATAATACTGTACATAGAAAATCTAAAATGGGTGTCTCTTTTTCTTCTCAGCGCCACAAAACTCTCACTTTTAAGCATGCCAGCCATTTTAAAGGGAATTACAAATGAAAATGTTGTCAGTACACAGCGCAATCACTAAAGTCGGAACTCGAAAATACGTAATTTGAAAAAATTTTGGTACGACTGGGGCGGTCTATGTTCTTCCTGTAGTTTTGCGGAGTCCTCGTCAAATTTAATTACACGCCCTATTTTAGCGTCACCAGCAAATTTAATTACGTTGCTGTCTATGCCAATATCTATGTCGTTTATGTATATAATAAATAGTAATGGTCCAAGTACTGTACTGAGCCTTGGGGTATCTCACTAGTGACATTACCCCAATAGGATTTAGTGCCGTTAATGCTTACTCACTGTTTCCTCTCCTGTAACCACGCCCTAATCCATTTTAGAATCTTTTCCAATGCCATGAGCCTCCACTTTTCTTATTAGTCTTTCGTGGGGAACTCTGTCGAAGGTATTGCTAAAGTCGAGATATACCACATCATAATTGTGCCCGTCGTCCACCGATTCGAAAACAGCTGAAATTTTTTTTAATAGATTACTCAGACACGAACACCCACTTGTAAGGCCATGTTGGGAATCATTGATCAACTTGTGCTTCTCCAGATGATTTTGAATACAGTAGTTTGAAATTATTGCTTCCAGCAATTTGCCTACAATTGATGTTAAACTGATTGGACAGTAGTCAGAGGATGGTGATCTATCTCCCTTCATGAAAATCTGTATCACATTTGCTATCCTCTAGGATTCTGGTACTACAGCCAATTTTAATGACATGTTAAAAAAATTTGCTCAGGGCACACTAAGCTCTTCCTTACATTCCTTTAATACTCTGGCAAATATCTCATCGGGACCTGGTGACTTATTAGGCTTTAGCTTGTCTATTTGCTTACTAACATCGTTACTAGTCACTACTATCTCGCTTAAACTATTTTCTTCACTATCTCTGTATATAGTCGGTGCCTCGAGCATCATGTTTAAATTTTCGGTGGTGAAAACTGCAGAAAAATATCTGTTCAGATTATTGTTCATTTCTCCATCGCTATCAGTTAGCTCGCCGGTATCTGCCCAATCTTGTCTCGTGTTTTAGTTTAATACATTTGGAAAAATCCCTTGGGGGTTTGCCTTTGCCTCCCTTGCTACCTTCAACTCATTATTCCTCTTTGCTTTTCTTATCTTGGTCTTAACCCTACCGGCCAATACCTTATAATAATCTTGAGGTAAACTTCACCACGATTTATTCTCCTACCTGTAGCTTTCATTTGTCCAATAATATTCTTTAAATAATTATAACTTATCCACTAATCCCCCACCCTGACATGGGTGACCTGACATTGCATACCATTCATCCCTCATCATCTTTTAAGTCAGGACGAAGGCTACACCTCCAGTCCCCCCTCTTCAGACTCCCCAAAGTCTGTGTGAGACTCAGGTTGATGTCTCCACTCCACCTCAAGAGGCCCCTTAGCCTTGAAGGATACATGTGATAACGACCAGACTCGTTCTTAATGGTGTGGTGAATGTTGTTTGTTTTGTACTGAGAGTTGTATTGTAGCATATTTTTTTCAGTGATACATGTGGGTATCCGACTGGCCAGGAACCTATCCCATTGAACCCCATGTATAATGATCCTGATTTATGATATTTCAACCTGCGATGAAGATTTCGGGAACCTAACCCCATCATAAATAGTTGTTTACATGTACTATCATACCTCTTAACAATGCCTTAGCTTTATGGATTTTTATTTAACAGACATAAAAAAAAAAGTAATTTAACAAATAATATACTGTATACCTGTAATTGTAAGTACAGTATACTGTAGTAACATTCAAGAAAAAATAATCAAACATCAGTGAAAAAGAAACAACAAAAAAGTGCACTGCCACCTCTGTTGTTTGCATCCTCTAAGCCAATCAGTGATCATCTCAGAAAGTATACAGAAGCTTGCAAATATTCATGCTAGTTCTCTTCATATTCACTATCTATGTTAACTTTGTGAACATTTTATGCTCATCAAGTCTAGGAAATGGCCAGCAAGTACCGGTAAGCATGTCAGTAAACCAGCCAAGGTGCCCAAGAAAGTCATTAATATGGACATGTAATTGACATGAAGGGTTGAGGTACGCTCCCTTCCTTTAAAGCATCTCTCAAAAAATATCTATTGTATAAGTATTAATATTTCTTGTAACACCTACTATATTTACAGTACCTGCTTTTATTGTACCATCAAAACCGTCTTATCGGAAATTATCATGATAAGAAATTCCCAATGCAACAAACATAATTGTCAACTAGACATAATCCTGACAGCTCTGTCCTCTTGTTCAACCTTAATACTGTACAACCCATGTAGTACTGCTTCCCCATTATACTTATGTTTTTCAATTCCACTGTAATTTATGTATATACTTATAAAAAAATAATAAACTAAAAAATAAAATATAATAAATAAATAAATATTGAAGTGATAACCGCAGTAACATTATGAGATGTCCTTATTACCACCATGCTATTGTACTTTTCCAGATGATACTAAATGTTACAGAATACTTCCTTGAGATAAATGTATGGTATATATCAGGTGCCTAAAAGAGAGCTCAGGTTCTCAACTGGCTCAGCCATGTTAATACTGTTATTATTATCCACTCTGTATCTGTGTTTTTCCGGCTAAATAAACTGTTTCAATTCAATTCAATTTGTTTGGCTTGGCTTCCTCTACTGTTAAAAGGATACAGTAATCAATAACAAGAAGACAAAATAGAACCAGCTCATCTATCACACCCTTAGAGGATATGAAGGTTTCCCGCACAAGGAATAATCTGCTAGAAATGATGAGCATGTGGATGGAAGACCCGAACCAGCGCCACGTGCCCTTAAGGCAGCTTATTATGGAGAAGGCAAGGAGCCTTTTTACCTACCTACAGGAGCAAGCAGACAAGGGATCTTCAACATAAACCTTCCTGGCCAGTCGAGGCTGGTTTGAGAAATTTAAACAAACACAATTACCTCAACATCTGGGAGGAATAGGTTCCTGGGACACCCAAGAATGTAGAACTTTGCAAGTATAACATTCTTTACTACCCTATTTTTAATATTAGTTTACCATAAATTTGGGGAAAATAATATATAAACTTTATTTAAGCCCTCTATACTAGATAGGTATGTACAGTTGCATTTTGTGTTAATAAGAAATAAATTAAATGAGAAGCATATAAATGTGGTGTGATATTAGGGAAGTCACTGGATTGCAGTAGCAGCAAAGCGTAATCTGCTGCCAGCTTCACATGGACAGTACCAGTACCACCACCGCCACTGAGCCATCAACACACGAATGCATGCCTGACACACAGTGCTGTGAATGAAATTGTGTACATACTAAATACAGTATTAGGTTTTCCTGTAATAAACTTATGACTGGGAAGAATATATTCATTTATCCCAGTCATCAGTGTAATATAAACATTATGGGAGCAAAATAATGAGCAGTGTTACTTATGTACAGGTATATAAGAGTTACTGTATGTAAAGTGTACTTTTCTTACTTCATAATGGCTGCTGTAGAAGTCTCAGTAATGATACTGAAGATATTACTGCTCCTCCTTTAAGACCTCTGAACTGGGATCATCCAGAATGTCCGATAAAGGGCTGGCAGGTGAGGAAGCCATATCAGTAGAGTGAAGAGGAGAGGCAGGCCGTGAGCATGGCAGTGATGCAGAAGACTCCGGGCTGGTTGGTGAGGAGAGAGACAGGAGTGGAAGGAGAGTGGAGGGGTTGGATCTCAGTGCACTATGCATTATGAGCAACATAAATTCAAATTTCCTTGTCTTTCATCTTTATGGAACGAATAGTCGGCTCATTCACTTTGAATAACAGTTGACACACTCATGCCACTATCAAATTTATCTAACACTTCAATTTTCTGTGTCAGAGTCATGACTTTCTTCAATCTCTTTGCACCAGATGCACTACCACCAGTTAATGGCCTTTCGGGAGCCATGATAGTTATAATTAACGTTAGAATTGCTCTGACGAGACTAGCTGGCGATGTGGGAGAACACAGATGCATGGGATGCAGCATGATACCATGAAGTCACATCATGGCAGATGCCTGGGTTTTTAAAATAAGCACCTTACCTTTTCATGTTAATTTAACAGACAAAAAACCTCTGAGGTTCATTTTGCAGATAGTCAAATTCGCGAGTTGAACTCGCATAAGTCAAGGTATTGGTGTAACAGCAACCTGCACAGCATCCATATCACAGGCAAAGCTGCAATATCTAACGAACAAGCTGTCCATGATAACCCCAACACATGTAAATAGCTCATCCAGCAAGGCAATTTCCCACTAGAGCTTGTTTTTATTATGGCCAAGACGGGCTTGTATTAGAGGCGAATGTCATCTCACACATTCATCCCATGAGATGAGACATTTATCTGGCTTCAAAGCAGCAAAGGACCAACTGACACTTCTGCTAGGTGGCACTGTGTTGGGGGATTTTAAATTCAACCCATGCTTGTGGTTCACTCCGAGACCCCGCAAGCACTTAAGGGGTTGTCAAAAGAATTCCTGCTTGTTGTTTGGCAAGCAAAGAAGAAGGCTGGGTGATGAAGGAATTGTTCCAGCAATGGTTTACTTCCTATTTTTGCCTTGCTGCACAGCTGTATGGTGAGGAGAAAACCCTCAACCTCAGAGCTTTGTTGTTGATGTATAAAGCTCCTGGCCACCCACAGTCCTTAGACAGCTTAACACTCTCGGGGTTTTCATATGCAAATTTGCGTAAGTCAGAACTTAAAATAAAATAATTTTATGTTTATGTGTAAACGCTAGACATGCAAGACGCACATTTAGCAATGTCAGCGCGATCTGGCAACTATGTAGACAGCACTCCAAGGTCACCACACCAGGCTCCCTTTTGTGTTTAAAGGACCCAGGATATAACATTGACCCACATTTCTCACACATTTTCTTGCAGTTTTTGCTGATTTCTCGTGCATCACAATGATTCATTTATTCATAACAGTGTTGTGAGAGTTTTGAACTATGCCTCATGTTGCTGGTGAAGATGGAGTGGGAAAATGTAAAATGTGCAAGGAGACTGTACCATGTGGTGCCTCCTGAGGCCTCTCCCAGTGTCCCTGGCCCTTCTAGTGTAAGTGATAGTTTGTCTGGCCCTTCAACAAGCAGTCCTAGTGCTATGACTCAATTTGTACTATTAACTTTTGCACCCAGAGGGAAAAAAAAATTAATAATCTGTACTTGGCCTGGGCGCACTCATCAGAACACAAAATCTACACCACTATTACCGAGCGAAATATTAATTTTTTCACAACCTTTCTTCTCCAACTATTTTTTCCTAAATATGTACGCTTTATATTGGAATAAGGTTCATATTACAATCAAGTGAAATAACGAAGGTATAAAGTGAAGTACAGTATAAAGAGTTTCATTAAGCGTAAACATAATTTTTGTGTTCTACTTGTGCTTAAATGTAGAAATAATTATTCTATTGTGATTACTCATATAAAGCTGTTTGTAAATAACTCATTTACAATGCTAATGCAGCACATCCCACCTTTTTATTTCAAATAGCAAGCTTGCTATGTCTCTGCTCGGGCATCAAGATGTGCGTGCCAATTTTTAAAATACTGTCCTTAACGCTCCCTAGGCCTTAGCCACTCACGATCCACTGTTCCGAGCGACCCTCGCATCACTTCCTGCCAAATTAGTGCATCAGTCAATGTTTATCAGGGATGGATTACATATGTCCCTCAACCTCTTGTGGCAGCTTGGCCACACCTAGCACTCCTCCATGTAAAAAATATCGACAAAAGTATCATACTGCTGAGAAAGCTGCTGAAATACTACTGAACATGAGTGATAGTGAAGAAAAAAAGAAATTGCAAATATCACAAACCAATCTAACGAATTTGAAGAATACAAGTGGGAGCGAGAGTGAGGTGGGGGAAACTGGAGCCCCGGTTCAAGGAACTCCTGTGATTGTGTGGTCTGATGGCCATGACTTTATACCAAAGTGTATGATTTTCATCATAGAAAACAGACATTCATGACCTGACGCCTCCACTCAACACCCCACCACAACCCTTCCTCCCAACCCCATGCTCACTCAGCTTCACTCTTCTGTGGTACACTCTCAAAGTGAGTTACAGCTTTTATACTCTGTATTTTATTTATTCTCATGCATATGTAACTGTGGATATTATCAAAATAATGCGCACATGAGGATGGGTCCCATTGATATAATGCACAGTTAAAGGGTTAAGGATGGTCCTGCCTGTGGGGGCTTTGTTGCTACCACCTAACATGACTTCCCTTATTCAGCCAATGGATCAAATATAATGCCACCTTTAAGAAATATTACCTCCAATGCACTTTCAGGCAGCTGTTCCTCTTACCCATGGTCCCGAGCAACAGTCAATCGCCAAATTAAAAAATACAAATAAATATCAAGAGTCTAAGGAACATGTTAGCAAAGCATGGAAAGAAGTGGCTGTAACCTGTATGAACAGTGCATGGCGGGTTGTGTGGCCAAGTGTGTCACAACTTCACGGGCTTTGATATGGAGGAAGGCACCACAAGGGCCATGGTCCAGCTAGCCACTCAAACTGGACTTGATGAAGTAAATGTCAACAATGTGGAGGAGCTGCTGACATCACATAGGAGCAGCTTAACAAATGAGGAGTTGGATGACACCATGCTAGTGAAGAGGCCGTAGATACTGAACCATAAAAATTCCTCAGTAAAAAGATTTTAAATGACACCTACCAGATGTTGTGATGCCCTGGAACTATTACCGAAAATAACCCTCGATATGGAGCAAAGCACAGAAGTGAAGAGAAATATTTAAAATGAATTTGCCCCCTAGGAGGAGATGCTTCATGAGAAGAAACGGAAAGGAGGAAGATGGGTCACAGCCTGGTCCGTCATCCCAGGAGTAGCTACTGTCTCTCATCTCCCACTGCTGCCAGGAAGGAGTAGTTGGTGTGCAGCAGGAGCAAGGCAGCAGTGGTAAGCTACACATCAAGCTCCAAAAATATTAACTGGAGAGTACTATTAAATTTAGTTTAATATATTATTGATGTTAACAAAGTTTTCATCTGAATTGTACAAAGTCAAGTACTGTCACCTATATCGATCACTGCAGCCATTTATGTTGTTATATTATCAGTGTACTGGAGTTGTTTGCTTCCCACTTTACTTTTTGTACAGAGACGGTGGTGGAAAATCATATTTCACTGTAACTGCAACTTATGTTTAAGACATATTCTGACATGTTTAATAATTTTTTAGTCATTTAGTAAAAATATAATAGTATTTAATGACATTTATTTATCATTCTGACTGACTTCAATATTAAGGAAGACCCCCATCTCCTTAAGCACCATGTGACGACCTCTTTTACCAGATTTTTGGCCGAGTGAACCAGCTGCTAGAATGTGTCATGTACGTTAAAAGATGTATGATAGTTTTTAGTCCACAAGAGTATACATCATCACTCAGGTTGATGTTGGGGCCATAACCTTATTATCCTGGAAACCAGACCTTTAATTGCACCCTGGAATAATTAAACACATAAGTACTGTAAAATATCACTTTCTTAGTTTTTATATAATTTCAAACTATCTTTTATAAAAACTAGATTTTTTAGACTATTATATCAGTATACTGAATCATAAACAGGTTCATTTTAATTTTACACACTGAACTGTACAGTACTGTATCTTCTACAGTTTCAAACATCCCCATCCAAATCCATGTCTAATACTTTAAACACACACATACTTGCACACACTTCCATGCTTGCTTTTTTCTATCATCAAGCAGTCATAGTGATCTAAGAGGCTTAGTCACTACACAGTCTGAAAAAGAATGGAAAGTATAAGTAAGGATGACATTACAAATACAACTGAAAAGGACATAATGGTAAACAGTAAACCGTCTCTACATGCAACAACGACTTAGGTCACTTGGGACACCCACGCCAGAGCTGAGGACTATCTACAACGCCTTTATTCTCCCCAAACTAATGTATGCGTCACCAGCCTGACCGTCTTCTCTCAACTCCACCCAACAACGTCGGCTAGAGAAGGTACAGAAAAGGGCCTGCAGAATCATGCTCGGCACAGAATACTCCGGCTACATCAACACTCTCTCCACCCTGGATATGCCATCCCTCAGTGACCTCCACCACCAAGCACTGGAAAGGTTTGGCAGCCAAATAATGCACCACCCTCTTCATCGCCACCTCCTGCCACCGGCAGCCCCCCACCCACCTCACGCAGTCCGCCACTACAACAAAATTCAGCCCATACGAGCCCGCACTGATAGATATAAGAATAGCACCATCCTATCTATTGTTAAAATAATAAACAACTCCTGATTTATGTACTGTACAGCCCTGTAAATGTATTCAACGCATATTAATATCATTATGTCTAAATCAAATGTAAGTCTGTATATTTTCAGCCACCGGCTGCAACTCTACTGTATTAATAAACCGTTTATTATTATTATTATTATTATTACTATTATTATTATTATTATTATTATTATTATTATTTTTATTATCAAAAGTTAAACAATGAAGAGGATTTTAGAAAACACATCTCTAAAATATTTTGAGGTGTTAAAACATTTCTTACAATATTTTGGGACTTGTTTTCCAGAAGCAACTTTAACCCCTGATCTTTGGGCTAAGTATGGTTTTCTAATACCTTTACTCCAATACAATTAAAAAAACAAAAATTGTTACTTATTACATACTCCAAACAAAGAGTTTTAATGTCTGTGGCAAACTAACACATATTTCTTCATTAATTAATTAATTGTTAACCATAGTAAAAAAAATGTATGGGGAGACACCATGAGGTCTCGTGAGGTAAGGTGAAGTTAGGTCAGGTCAGGTGGCAGTGGCCATGACAGCAGATTTTTCCTTTGATCTTCTTGTGTCCATTAGCACCTTAACCACCCACCTCACTTAGCTTACCCTCTTATCTCCCCTCCCCTCCCCCAGGGGCTTGGTCTCCCCATTAGACGTCAGTTGCTCTTTGCATATAACTGTACCTAAAATGAATTTCAAAGAGGCTGTGATTCTAAAATGCTTTACATAATTCCATCTTGGATGTAAAGCCTGTACCTATACCTATGTATCAGATGGAGGGTATTTTAAATTTTTAAATTCGGCTTAAATAACTAAATACCACTGCCCCCAACACCCTCCAGGTGTTACGTGGTGCAAAAAATTCAGTCACTCGTCAACTGGAATCGAAGAGTGATGTCACCACAGTCACACCCCAATTAGAGGGACAGTTCACTGAATCATAGTTAGACTCAGTCACTATGGAGGCAACATTCATCCACAAACTCCTCAACTGAAGGAACTTGATAGCTACTTGGCATGGCCAGGGGATGGAATAGAGCTACTGATGTCTTTCCCAACATAATGTCTTATCTCTCAAGCTTAACACCCCACTACCTGCATCTGCTGCTCGTGAGCTTCTGTTTAGTCCTGCTGGGCTTATTTTTTATTTTTTAATTAATTTATTACACCCAAGGGGGCGGCAAGCCTAGTCACAAGACGCTAATACATTGGTACTCATGTCTCGCAGGACACGCCATGACTTGTAATATGGAGACAATATTGATATGATTTAAGGACAATGGGAGTTAGCACCCACCAAAGTGTGGGTACCATACAAGAATTAAATCTAAATTATTACGAATAAGTTGATGGTGACATATAGTGGTCAGTGACTCTCCCTATGGTAGGAGGTCCCTGACAGTGAGACAGTCAAGGCAATACAGTAGTGTTGAAGGGTGTTAGTGTTGGGACAGTTACAGAGTTAACAGGAAGAGAAGTGTGGGTCCTCCCCCACCTCAGATACTTGACAGATAGGTCTGTATCCTAACCTAATGTGAGCAGAGACAACATTATATCTGTGGACCATAAGTCCACGTCGACGATACTTGTGTGGATGAGGAAGAAACTGATCATAGTGTTGGACGGATATACTCTCAGCTCGTTCACTATCCTTGCAATGGATTGTAGGGAGAAGAGCGGCTGAACGTATTCTCTTTCAGTAGGTCATGCCGGGCTTATATTTAGGCCTAAAAGATCCTGATTGAACAGCCATAATTTTAAGAATCAGTTATTGATTAATCTCAATAGAAATAGTTGCAAATAAACATGTGTGTAATGCAATGTGTCTTTTACTTTTATCTTTAGTTAATTATTTTTTATAATTTATTGTGGATTTATTTTAATATTAGACAAAATAATTTTGTTGTTACTTTTTACTTTCAGTACTTGAGTACTTTATGAATGAGAGACTTTTTACTTCTACTTGAGTACATTGATCTTTGGATACTTTTACTTCTACCTGAGTAACATTTTACCAATGTAACAATACTTTTACTTAAGTAACAAAGTCCAGTACTTTTTACAATTCTGCTAAGCTATGAGGCTAGTTCTTTGTAGTATTTTACCCCACATTTTCCCTCTAATGATTACACAGCATTATTAAAGATGATTTTTTGGACAACTGTTAATAAATATTAAATGACTCGGTGAAGCAGGTTGAGACATTAGTATTTGACCAAAGGACTGAAGTGAAAGCCTATTTTACCCTGATGGATTCACACAACTAACCTGAAAATGAAAAATTTGTATAAAAAAATTTATCTAGTAAATTTACACAACCTTGAAAAATCACTTACTGTAAATATCAAGAGTTAGTAAGTTGATGGTGATCGAATTCTCTCTACCCCTAAACCTATATCATCATTAAATGGTGAAGCAGCAATAGGTAAATCATCATCATCCCACTCAGAAAAGTGTGCACGATACTGTGATGAATTGGGATTATTTTGCTGGTTACGACACTTTTCCAGCTTGGCTTCTATTTCACGGCGGACAGCATCTGCCAACGGAGGCTCTGCATTCTTCACCATTTTCTTAATCTCTGCAAATAAACGATGCATATTATATTTAAAGTCCACACTGAAATAAAATGTAAATTTCATTTTCCCCAGTAAGCCTTTTCCCACTTAAGTGCACAGTGGCCAATATTAAGAGAACTGTAATATATTCAGTGTAATTTAGATGCAAACAATATACAGTGGAGTCTTGATAAAGTAATTCATGAAATACAAATTCGCCTTCTTAAACTTACGGGTACAGGTATAGTCTCGAATTACGACGACTCATATTAAAAAACACAGTTAATTAAGGACCTCATCCAATTTACATCATTGTCACATTTTATTTATATTTACTCCAAAAATATAAAAATATAATAGAATAAAATTCCATTTTCAGAAAAATAAAAACTAATACTGTATAGTATTGTACAAATATTAAAAAAAAAAAAAAAAGTCACATTGCGCAGGCACCATTCCGGGCTGCCGGGATGGCAACGTCGCCAACATAAACAGTTGCGCTAGGCGGGCTTTTCTTTTCCATGTTTATGAACCAGATAAAGATAAAAAACTTTTGCAGGTACGTATTTTACAGCATTTTTGTGCCCTTTTTCAACATGAGCAAGAGAGTAAGTGATGGTAGTGCTGGATCAAAAGCTAAGAGAGAGCCTGTCGCTGTAGGCGCTTTGTCGTCATCTAAGTGAAAACTCAGACAACATTGGTTGTGTCCTATGTTTTTGGCTTCATCACCATTAGTGAGTAGGATTTTTGTTTTACACTCATAAACATTAATTAAAACAAATATCGTATGTACAAAAAGTTCTCGCCTGCTCTAAGGGTCATAAAGTATGACAAAACGAACGAGAAATCTGATTACTCCCCGAGGAAGTTTTATTGTAAATACTATAAAGACGATCAACAAACTGTATATTATTACAAGTCACTTTACAACGAGGCATACCAACCATTCTGAGATGACACGAGCCATAGTGTTCATTCTGGAATCTGTCATGCTCGGCTGTTGGAGAACTTTTTGTGGCGTGTTTACATTAATAAACAGTAATAGGTGTTGCTTTCATATTCTTATGGAGAGAAATGATGCTATGTTTACACGTGTGCATACATAAATGCGTTGGTCTTCTGCCATCCACCTCAGCTTTTTTTTTTAACCACGAATGGTTCCAACTTTTGTTCTCTATACATTAATAACATTAATTAAAATATACATTTCATTTTTACATTAATTTTACTACAGCTGCAACCAAGGTCTTATCTGATAAAGTATCTGATGAGAAAAGCTGCAAGAAACCATGCAGGTTGGACAGCTGTCATCAAGTAATATTAACTAACCCACACAAGCATGGAAAATGGCCATAAAATGGGGATAATGATGAATATCTACAAAACTCAGTGTCCAACTTAAATGCAGGATGGCGCATGAACATAACTGTACATAACAGCAGTAACTGAAATAATACATCGCCAACATATAAAACAAAATGATAAAGGTAAATGACGAATGAGATGACATGGCATTTTCTCACTACTGTACTATGTATACTCGTACAAATTTTTTTAAATAATACAAAGCATTACCTGATGAAGAAACTGTTAAAATTCCTGGTTCTTGTAACTTACTTCTGACTGCTTCAATAAGAACTGAGAGATGCTGCTTCTGTTCATCTGGGAACAGTATATCAGTCACATAATGATCCAGGTTCTCTCCCAATCTGCTGACTGCATTTGTAACTGCTGCCAGGGCAATCTGTCAAGTAATTACACACACAGTACAGTATTGTATTGTATTGGACAGTTCATTTAAGAGGAGAAGTTAGCTTCCCTAATGTATGTCCTATCAATTACCCTATCATATTACAGTACAGTATATGCATTTTTTGTGTGTAAACATTATTCAAAAGGAAAATATGGGGTTAAAGACTAATTACAGCAGCACCCAGACCCAAGGTACAGTACAGGCAATGACCATTATACAAAGGGGTCGGGACCTCAAAAAGCCATAGATAAGTAACCGAGTATGTATCAATACAGGTATTAATAACTTATTGGGAAAAATTGGTTCCGTTCCTGAGCCCCTGAAGAGCCCAAACAAATTTTATATCCTGCTGTTATAATGATTAAATAATGGCTAAATAACTCAAATTATTTAAAATCAGACATAAAATAAAAAATCTATACAAAATAAAGACAAACAATAAATTTACAAAAAATAAAATTTATTTAAATTTTCCTCCAGCTGTCACTACAAGTATTATCAGGTAGACAGACTCTATGTAATGTTCTTAATTTTTGAAAACTTTGTTACAGGCACACAATCTTTTATACAGAATGTGCAAAGAAAACACATAATGGGACTCAACATTTCTTACATCCCCAGGAAGGGAAGGAGGGCGTGGGAGGAGGGTGAAAAGTCAGTATCTCAGCCTCACGTCAAGCTGTAAGCTGCATTAGTTATTTTTCTACTCTTATTTTTGGGAAGAAACAGTATATACTGTACATAATTTTTTATTTATTTTTTTACTGTGACATGTACACACACAATCATTCATACACAATGTGAAAAAATAAATAAATAAAAATAATCAAAAGATCAAAAATGTGTGGGAGTGAGCACAGAGAGTGAAGGAGAGAGGGCGCAGTGTTCCCTCACAGCTCTGCTGTCTCGTGTCAACACTGCCAAATGGCAAAACAGTATTTTTTCTTTTTTTTTATTCATAATATATGAGAGCCTTAGAATCACAAGGCCGCAAGTGCCATTTTTTAAAGTGAGAAACAAGCCCCTTAAGTTTATCGTTTGTTACTCCACAACCAATAAAGATATCGAGGTGGGGTTTGTTTTATTTTTAAAAATTTTTGTTGTGAAAGTTTTGTGTAGGCATGTCATGCATCACGGCCCATGTGCCCCAGACGCGCGCCCATCGGCCGAAGCGGGTCTACTTGCTGCGTCATTGGCTCAGCTGGGAGGTGTAGCGGGTGAAGCGCGCCTGTCATTGGCTGCTATGTGAGTTAAAGGGATGCGGTGCCGTGGGGTGAGATTTGCAGCCTTGTGTGACGAATGTGAGTTGAACACGGTCCTTTTAGGTACACATACCAATGTATTTCATTGCTATTTTGACCATGTGAGAGTAACACAAGGCTGAAAATCCAAGTTCCACAAGACAGAACTCAACTTGGCGAATACATTGGCACCAATAACTCCATTTCCCCCGTGATGGCGCTTGCGGCCTTGTGCTTCTGAGGCACACACGCACACACACTGTATATATATAAATGGCAGTCCTTTTCCACAAAAAACTGTTCTTACCTGCCCTGGAGCATACAATAATATGGCATCTGTAAGATTGACCTTCTCCAAAAACTCTTCTATGTATGGCCTAAGTCGCTCAGGGTCTCGCAGCTGAGGAAACCTTGTCTGTTGGTGACACAAGTAAGAATAATGCATGAATAAAATCCCCAACATTTTAATCATCTTAACATACAGTACATCAGTAATCTACTTAAAGAAATCTCTTGGAATATTTTAGTATGTAGAAAAAAACTAATCATAATCAAACAAAGACATTGATTCAGGTACACTGTCTAATAATTACTGTCATTACTGGAGACTGAATTATCTACTAAAATGGGGAAAGACCTCTTATAGATCATAAATTTTTCCTGATGACTGACACCATATAACAGTCATTGCAAAACACAAAATCTGAATATAGTACATAGCATAAAATGTTTAACAGTACATTACCAAACTGTAAATATTTCCTTCACTGACAATTGTGATTATCAAACAGTATAAGAAAATTTATTGCATTACCTACGTACAGGAGTGCTTCAATTTATGAAAGGGATACATTCCTGAAAAATCAATGTACGTAAATCATTTTTTTGTAAATTGAAGGCATTTTTCCCACTGACTACCATTATATAAAGGGAGATACATTCCTACCCAAAAATAAAAACAATTCCTCCAAATGTAAAAATACACATCACTGTCAGAGTCCTCCCTCCTGTTGTACTGTCCCTATGAAAAAACACTAACAGCATTACAGCACGTCCATGGTCACAATCAAGATCATTGGGTGTATCACATTCATTATCAAATTCCTCTTGTTGTTATGTGGGGCCTAGTAAACACCCAGAGCAATTGATGGCTATTATCATTATTATCAGCTGTGACATCAACAAATTCTTCCCCCCGTTGTGTGGGCCTCGGGTTATGGTCACTGTCATGGTATTGTTGGTATGTGTGAGACAGAGACATAGATTCATCAATTTCTTCCTCTATTAAAGCATTATTGAAGTAATTAGTTATAAATTTTTGCCTCTTATTTGGTGGTCAGTTCGCTATACTTTTACATCTATATACAGTAGCATCTACATATGACATCTTATCTATACAGTATATGTATATACAGGAATACCTCACTATTTGCAACCCCACTTATCTGCATAACACAGGCTAGCCTCAACTCTCCTATTCCGCTGTAAGGCCTGCTTCACACGAGTGGGTTTTTTACGCACGTGAGAACCCTTGCGGTTAATAAATTAATGAAGTTCAAAGGGAAGGTTCACACGGTGCACACATGTGAAAATTAATGCACAGGAGACGTTCACCCCACGCCTATACATGTACTTCCATGCCACGGAGTAAAAAAACACTGAGCATTCTAGAATTCTTCATATGGCAATGATAATGCTAGTTGATTAACTGACTGACTGTGGTACTTACATCTCTGGTAACACACCAACTTAGGTCATATGTCAGTGAATTAAAATAGAGGCTAAAAAGACTAAAATAAAATAATGCAAGGTGAAAAACATAAGTAATAAATGACATAAAACTTTCATAAAAACATTTAAACATTAATAGCGGTGAGGTGTTAAGGTTGTTTTTCATCTCGTATTTTTGGGTAAATATTCGTAACTTTCATTTATTTTTACTCGGTTACATGCACACACCATCCTTCATACAATTTTGTGTAATGTATATTTTCAGCCTTCGGGCTGCCAAACTTTTTCAATGAACCGTTAATTATTATTACATAATGTGAAAAAGTAAAAGAAATAATTGCCCAAAGGGTAAACACATAAAGGGAATACTATACATTTCTTTGCACACGAGTTAGCTGGCTCAGTGAGGGAGCGGGAGGAGGTGAGCCGTGTGTGGAGGGGGCATTGCTAGGGAATCAGTGGAGGTGGCATCTCCGTCACTATGGTGAACCAGGGGGTATATGCAAATGGCGACTGTGTTAAACTTTCATATGCTTTTTATTTACTGGTTTGGCAATACTGTACAGTATTTTTTGTTCTAACTTATTTATTGGTATTATTTTTATTTATTCCTCACATTTACTGGTAGTAAGTCCTCGATATACCTATGTGAGGGAGGCGTTCCTGATAACCCTCACATAACTCAAAATGGCATATATTGAATACTGTACTCCACTTAGTTAAATGGGGAAAATAGGATGCATTCCATATGCTGACTCGCATATAATGAGGACTTACTGTACACAGAATGCCCGGATAATTCGCAGATTTTTATTTTGTGGCCTTCTATTATTCACGGATGACACCCTGGACGTACTCAAGAATGTCTGTGGGTAGTTTTAACGTTGCCTCCATTTTCACGGCCGGTACGGGGAGCACGTGAGTTTTGTGGCGTCCTGCAAGGTGTCTCTCTTGTGATACAATTATGATATATAATAACTAGGAGGGGAGTAGGTTATACTACAGGGCATTTCAACATAGTGACAGTGCAAAAAGGTATGATTGGTTGGGAGTGAATACACTGGTTAATTACGAGTCGTTGATAATTTTTACGATGGTTGGGACTGGGCTGTTCTTATAGTGTGTATACAATACAGGTAAAAGAAATAATTGTCCTAAGGGCAAACACATAAAGGGAATACACTATACATTTCTTTGCACACAAGAAATAATGCCCCCTCCCGGTCAGCAAATGTTATTCGTGTCTGGTGTCAGGAGTTAAAGAAATACCCGGCAAGGGGAAGATGTATAAATTTTGTCAACCACAAATAATGCAGAAGAGGTCATTTTTACATACCTTAATATCTATAAGTAAGCCTTCAACTGGTCGGAATGGTTGATGAATAATAAGATGAAACTGTAATTCCTGTGTGAGCTGAAGTTCATTGTTAAGAATAATCTCAGCTGCTTTCTTCTTGTCACCTCGTACATTGTAAACAAAGTCATTGATAGTCACAAAAAACTCCTCAATTTTACATGCAAGATACACACAAGTCACTCTGAAAAACAGAATAATAAATTTAGACTGAAACACAAATACATAAATATCCAGTACACTAATAATCAAAATATGTCATGTAATACAAAGAAAAGTACAGCTTGAAGCGTTGTGGCAAATTTGCCAAAACACGCCCAAGCCCTTGCGAAAGTTCAGGCGGATGAACCCTTGTTTGGCCAGCTCATATTCGCACCGCTCGGTCAGCTGCACCTTGATGGGGCATTTTGTTTGCAACTTGCCATTGATGGGTACTGATGCAACGGCAGTTCTTCTACACTCCCCCCAGAATGAGGTTCAATGAAGTTGGGGCACCATCAAAAATTCGTGAAGGAATCAGTCACATGTGTGGCGAAGGCCAAGGAGTTGGCTTGCATAATTTTCAAGAAAGATTAAAATTCTTAAAAAAAAATAATTTCATCTTACATAAATATGGGCATGCAGGATAACGGGAAACAAAATATTAAATTTTTAATCTACCTCGGTTAAGCCGTAGTGAAGAGCTGAATGTTGTCATTGTGGTGGCTCAAACTATATACTGTGTGCAATTTTCAAGAAAAATGAAAGTTCTTAAACAAATACTGCATTTTCATCTTACAAACATATAAAAGTATGTATGCAAGCTTATGGGAAAAGAAAGAATAAATCATTTGTCTAGTTTGATATAGCCGTGAAGAGCTGTACGGTCGGTGAGAGTTTCACAAATTAGTCCATTATTGGGAGGGTTTACTGTGTGTGTGTGTGTGTATCAGTGTTGGGAGTAACGGCATTATGTAATTGGGTTACCTTTAAAGTAACGATTACAGTAATGCCGTTACTTAAGAAAATAGGTAACGATATTGGTAACGGCATTAGTTTTGAGGACAATTTCAATCATTACTCGTGACTTTCATATTTGAATAAATAAAAGTATGTCAACAGTGGAGAGTGCAATAACTCTGATCTCACAACTTCACCTCCTGCAGCACTCAACAACATTTCTGGTAATTAAAATTTGAGTGTTTTGTTCATTTATTATGTTACATCATGAATGACTCATTGTACGTTGTTAAAATCATTTGATTTCCTACATATATGTGCTTGTGTCACGTTTTTGGGCCTCAAAAATTTTTCCGTAGGAATGCATCTCAACTTTTATTATGGAAATACTGAATATGGGAAAAAATGGTTCCACATTGCAGAACCCTTCTATAACCCAGGGGATGCTTGTATAATATGAATTATATTAAGATACTGTACAAGAATACGTTTGGGTGCATAGCCCGGGAGAGGAGCAGTGACAGAGGAGGGAAGCGAGCAAATCACCTCTCGTACTCATCAGCCCATGATGCCTTTATAACAGTACAGTTGCACCCGAATGCCAACACCCCGTTGGCCCCCCAATTCGCATAACCGACGATTACATATAGGGGAAATACCCTGCAAGTTTAGTTGATACCCCGGAGATTCAACAATCGGCAAAGCTGTTTTGAATTTGACGGGTGGTGGCGTGGTATGAATTCTTGCCACCAGATATAAATTAGGCAATTGGTTTTATCAGCACATCAGTAATTTACCAAAGTATACAATATAATAAACTTTACTCACAGAATTTCTTTAGGATGGTAATCCATGACGGAGTTGTACAGGTAAAATCTCTTGAAATAATGCTGTGCTGTTGTTGTTACTGACGGCAGCATTCTGATGCGACTATCTCTTGGGTCTCTGAACTTCTTGCAAAATTCTCTTAAAGAATGTTCATATGAACGAACCTATGAAAAGAATTAAAATAAAAGGCATGTACTACTGTATACTATACTTGAACATACAAACTAATATGTATATACCAACTTTCATTTCTTTATGTCTCAACTATTTACTCTAACTAGAATTATAAAAAATTGGCAAACTTTCACCTTAAGACAATGGTATATACTGAATTTATAACTCATAATATTCTGTATTTTGTTCATCCTGTTGATACGTGACTCTCTCCTCTAGAACATATTTACTCAAACCAGTAATCTATGTGCTTCTATCCTCTCTGCTTTCCACATATTCCAATAAATACATCACTAGGAGAATTATTAAACTGATCATTACCATTAAATGCTCCTCTTCCGTGGTGAGGAAGTGTTGTACTCGCTCCATATTCTGTAAAAGTTAATTATCTTTTCAGTGAAAGTTATACTAAGCAATATATATGAAAATTAATTAAACCACATTTTTAAAAATGCATGCCACATTAAATATTTTACAGACTGTGGAGAACTTTTAATTATTTGCTAGTCTACTACTGGTACAGTATACAGTATGCAATTGTCAAGTATCCACCAAAATCAAAGTTTTTGCCAAGTGCTGTATGAGGTATACTTGATATTACCTAATATCAAAAGATGGTCTACACTGTGTATACAATGTGGCTAGAACCAAGAGCCAATCAGCCAGTATTGCAGGAAACAAATTTTACCAGGGGAGCTGAATATCAATTCTGGTGTCCTTGACATTCTTTGGTGCAATGTAAAGCACCGTATACCAAAAATATTAGGATGCTACAGAACCCTCAGCAGCCCCCTTCCCATCCATGCACTTAGCATTATGTTCAAACATTATGTTTTATGACCATGTTTCGGTCTTTTGAAAGTTCATTCTGCTCATACAAACACAGTTTTTTCAAACATAACGTCACTGAATGTAGAAAAACAAACACCACACAACTGTACAGCACATTCCATCTGCACATAAGAGTCCTCCTAAAATTCATTTACGTACTTCATTTGAGTGGTGCCAATCACTTTTTTGCAGTGATCATTTATTTGTTGATTTTTTTTTATGATATTAGCCATTAACAATGGGTGATACGCATGAAGCAAGTACCAATGACCATGGCGAAAAGAAGGTACAAAGCAGTTGTCTCTTAGAAAGGTGATATAATTAAACGTGTTGAATAGGGGGAAGCTTAGCTAAAGTTGGCAGGTCTTTGGGAATAAACTGCTCCACCATCACAAATGTGGTTAAAGATAAAGTGCAAATTATGAAACAGGCAACAGGTCCCACACCAATGCAGATAACAAATATTGAATCCCAGTGATTAGGAGGAGGTGGGGCGGAAACGGAGAAGTTATTAGTGTTGTGTTTGGAGGACCAACATGAGAGATGTAGTCCATTAAGTCTCCAAATAATTCAGGTGAAGGAAAGTTTTCATGAAGATCTGAAACATAATATGGGTGAACCCAATGATGCTGGACTTTTATGGATAGCCATGGCAGGTTTAATAAATTCAAGGCCAGGGCTAATTTACATTACTGTATATAAAAGTGAATGGGGATGCTGTTAGTGCAGACATGAAGCAGCATATAGCTTCCTAAGTGAATTGGCTGCAATAATTGAGAAGAGTGGCTGTAGTTGCAAAAATATCTTTAACTTGGATGAAACTGGCTCGTTTGGGGAAAAAAAAAAAGCCTGAGAGAAGTTATATTACTTGAGAAGAAACGATAGTGCCAGGGTTTTAGGATGCAAAAGACAGATTAACCCACCCTGGTAAAGCTGCTGCTAGTGTGTCATAGAGCAAATTCCAGAGCCTCAGAGGGTATTAGTAAACCTTATCCTCCAGTGATTTAGAGACTAACCCAATGATCTAGATTACTGGTGCTATGTTTGAGGACTGGGATGCTAATATTGCACCAAGAACAATTTATCTTTTAAGGCATTCATGATACTGAACAATGCTACTGGACACCCTACTTATTTAAGAGATCTTACCACCAACACTACTTTATGATGTTGCTGACAATATGTGTATTGTATGCATGTGCAGGTAATCATGTGGCTCAGCAAGGCTGGAAATGCTCAACATTGAGGACATACTGTATCTCTGGACTGTGTTGATGAATTTTACTATTTAGGTAACATGATCAGTGCTGTAGGTGGTGCAGAAGCAAGCTCAGGTGCAAGAGTCAAAAGTGGCTGGAAGAATCTTTGGGAGCTATTGCCTCGAGTGTATTCACATCTAGAGAACCCTTTCTTCACTTGAAATAAACAAAAACTTGCATGTAACCTGTATAAGAAATATGTTGTATGGCACTAAAACACTGGCAGTTAAAGAAGATGATATACTGTATATAGACCAAATTTAACTGAAATGATGATAATGTGATGAATGTGTAATGGGGCATTGAGAGATAGGATACCTTATTCAGAGCTAAGATGGTGACTGGGTATTTAGCATTGGTAAGGTTTTGTGTAGATATGGACTGAGATGATTCAAACATGTTGAGAGAATAAAGCAGAACAAATTGTTAAGAGATGCATGTATTTGAATACAGAGGAGGAGGAGAGCTAGGAGTCGGCAAAGAATGGCATACAGAGAGGTTGTGAGAAATGTGCTCAGGAATACACATATAATACAGTACTGATAATAATAATAATAATAATAATAATAATAATAATAATAATAATAATAATAATAATAATAACAACTGATATTCAATCAATTTGACTGAGGAGAGGTGACAAAGCCATGAGAAGAATGCTTCCAGTAGAGTTCTTATGCCAGCAGCATCTGGTGATCTTAGGGCCAGGCAGTTGCCCATCCAAGTACTAACCAGACCCAACGTTGCCTAACTTTACTGGGGTGTCTGGAAACCCTCTTTCATTAGAAAATTCCAATACTGTACTTTTTCTTTAATGCAGTATTGTACTCAGGCATTTTTGTAATTACTATTGCCCTCAGAATATCTCCAAATATCAAGTGCACATGGCCTCAAAATGCTTATGATATTGGTCAGATTTCAAAATATTTCTAGGGGGGGTCTTACAGCGCCCCCCAAAACACCCCAGTTGGGTGGGCTCGTTGTGCTCGCCATGTTCTCTCACCCACAACTTCTTGGACTCCCCCTTTTGATATTCCTGGGTCCACCCCTGGTTTCCAACGTGTTACCTGTACTACTAACTAGAGAGGTTGTAAGAGATCATGCAACCTGTGGAGATGCCATCAGGTAATAATGGCTAACCCACACAAGCATGGAAAATGGCCTTAAAACATTGGTGATGATGATGATGACAAATGTCTCATGATATTTTGTTAAGGGAAATAAAAACTAAAATGATCCAGTACAGTAATTTGTTTAGTGCATGAAAAGGTAAGTTGGAAGATGGAGTAAATAGTAAAGTGCTCAAGCCTACAAGATATACTGTACTTAATCTGACAAACAACATTGAAATTAGCAGTCGATATTGAGCAAAATATGATGAATAAAACTAATACCATTTTAGGAAAGAATTACACTACAGTATGTTCCAATTTTACAAGGAAGATGGTTTAGTGCCCCTCCAGCACTGACAAGTAGGAAAAGTGCATAAGTTGCCATAAGTCTGCATCAAGGAATAATAGCTTTGACCTCTGGGTGGATATGAAAATATAATTATAGTAAAAAAAATGAGTGGCTCAAACAAGCAAAAATCTACAGTAATATGTCCCTTCAGACTATACAACTCCTTTAAGCAGCTAAAACTCTTCATATTCTTCTATCTTTATTCATCCCTTAACTTTGCTCTTCCTTCCAACAGTCTCATGACACTCACTTAAAAACTTGTTTCTTCAGTCTTCCCATGTCTGTTTTGTATTAAATATCAACATCACCTTTATTTATTTTTCTCACTTAAGCAGCTACAGTGCTTTGTCAGGAGAACATTTTCCCAGTTATTCATTTTTCATTCCATTCACTCTCTTAACATCACACCACTCACTTTTTGTATCATTAGTAATGATTTAATTATTATTAATTTATATCTGATTGAACATGTCACAGTAGAGACCGTGTCGGAAATAACCACACTACTGACCTGACCTCTTACTGGACTGAACCACCTCACTCCCTGTATTATATGAAACTTATAGACAGGCCTTTAAGTAATCTGAGTTCATGATACAGAACTACTATACTGTATGTAAGGCAGCAAAGGTTATTATACAAATCAAGATTTAAACATTTGCAATTGACTTTATTTATAATTTATCTGTTACACACAAGGGTACACATCTAATTTTACAGTGTTTGTAAAGCAGCAAGGAAGGCACTGTACTAGAGAATATCATGGTCCATCAGAGGAACTAGTGAAGTGAGTCACTGAATTTCATTATATGGAATATTGACGTTCTGTAATAAAAATCAGTGAGGAGTTGTATGTTAAGTGGGTATCAAATGTATCAATTAGGTTTTATATATTATTATGTACAACTGAGTAAATTGTACTCATAAGTCAAAAATACTGTTAAGAAATAAAATTAGGACCCATTGTTTGGTGAACCTCTATTTCCTTTTGTCTCTTAAAAGATTCATCCATACTCTTTTAGTACTGGACACTCATACTCAGAACACAAATTACCTTATAAACTAAGCTCTGTGTGTACGATCTCTTAGAATGTAATACTCACGGCCATATTCTTTCCAAACTTCTCAATGAAGTCACAGTTGACCTGAAAACGCAATTTTGCCAATTCATGCTCATCCTTAAATGTCCAGCTCTGAAACTGGGTGCTGCTGCCATACATCTTGTCTTTTGTAACAACAGTACCTGCAAAAATCTTCTAATAATATTCTAATACAAACAGCCGTTACTGTATCCTAAAATCTTAACTTGTTTCAATCTGTTACGTTGGGGAAATAATATTATAAAATAAAATTATTAAATTAAAACACTGCTACAACTTTGGCACATAAGTGGAGAGGTTTCACAAAAGATAAATACTGTACTGTACTGCATGTAAGGTGACTCTGCAGACTTAATGGGTTATATTTTGGGGAACCTCTATAAAATGTTAGATTTAACACAGCATTTAATTCTGGGTAGAAGCAAAGATATAATTACTTTGACTTACAAGGAAAGAAATAATTCACTTAGAAAATAGCAAGCAGGCCATACCCTCTGCCAAATTAACAAAAAGGATTACTTTCATTTGGTAGAACAGCCCTGTAATATACAGTTTTCATAGTTCTTCCGACTAAAATATGATAGTATATACTTCAGGTTAACCAGGAACTTTAAAAAATTCTATAAAATATAATTTATTTCTTACTTTTCGGAAAAAAACGAGGATTTATAATTTCTGTAATAGAATAAGAGAGATGCAATCCTTAAAAAGTGTTCATTAGAAGAATTCTCGTTTGACGGGTTCATTTTCCCCATGAGATTCCTTGTTAAAAGCCAAGGTGCGTTCCAGACAAAAATCATTTGACTTAAAACCCCATGGCATAAACTTACCCAGTAGATGTGCTCCAGCCAAAATAATTTGACCCTGCAATGTGTTACCGGCTGAAGTGCCCAGTAACGAAGTATCTGAGTACTTAGAAGTGCATTACATTTTCTGTACAGTACTTTTACTTAAGAGGAGATTTTGTCACCTCACATATAGAGCCACTCACTTTACCTCACATGTAGAGCCACTCACTTCACCTTACACGTAGAGCCACTCACTTCACCTCACATGTAGAGCCACTCACTTCACCTCACACGTAGATCCACTCACTTCACCTCACACGTAGATCCACTCACTTCACCTCACACGTAGATCCACTCACTTCACCTCACACGTAGATCCACTCACTTCACCTCACACGTAGAGCCACTCACTTCACCTCACACGTAGAGCCACTCACTGACTTTGACTATAAGGCATAACATAATAACTGATATAGATCACCTGTTATATGAGTGAGTAATCCTGGTATTGTACTGTACACTGCTGACAGACGGCCCATTTAGACATTACCGGTATACCAACTGCTATTGAAACTTAAAGTGAAGGTTTCGTAAGACTTTATCAGTGACTGTACAGTACAGGAGTGTAAACTGTGGGTAGGTGCACTGTGCTGTGAGTTATGATGGTACTGCCTGGACTAGGGATGCACCGATATTCCTTATATACTTATTCCAGTCTGAAGTATAATATTTTACTCTAATCTGGTCTTATAGGAGGAAAAGTCTAGCTATCCTTACTACAGAGATTGTTATTGTAAATATATGGTTGAATTTCTCGTTAATCATCATCATGTTTCACGATAATCAACACCTAATGGTAGACCCTGCTGCCGTATGAAATAAAAATTTTTTTTTGACCAAGTCCCAGGTTGCTGATCTGTCTTTCTGCCCCATTTACACACAATTGCAGGGTCTCAATTGTTTATCTTACTATTGACAACACAGTACAGTATACATATATAATTTCTCACTCATGACATTTTTTAAATTCTTATTTCTGATTCATTATTATTATTATTATTATTATTATTATTATTATTTATAATTTTTAGTGTTAGTATTTTCTTTTATTATAATTATTTATTTATTTTATTTTATTATTATTGTTTCATTATATCCTCTCCCCCTCCACCCCAAGGCCTTGACGTGGGTCATTAAAAATGACCTGTGGCCAGGTGGAGCTAATGCCCATAAAAAAAAAAAAAAAAAAAAAAAGCACGAAACAACACTCACTGATTTAGTAGACCTTTTGCGTTGTATTTACAGTAAACAATTAATTTTATCACCATGTTTTACCCTGCAATTTCTGTCATCCTTCATGCTCTGCCCACTACAGGTTATTTATGATTGTAGAGGAAAAACAAAGAATTAAAAAATATATAGGTACGTACTTATAATTAATATAAAAAGTTGTCGCCTCTTTTAAAATACTTACTACAATGATAAGAACGCCAGTGGAAAAAATGAACAAAATTAAACTCCTCAGCAATCTTAAGCTTGAAACAATGTGTTAACGAGCTGTTTTGTACAATTTCGATCATGGTTTCTATTGCAAATGAGCTGTTTTTGAGTTATCACCACCTTTTCTGTAACCAATGGTTGACAAATAGAATGAATTTCCAAGGAAAGAATAGCCTTCAAGAAGTGCCTATATAGTCGTAAATGTACACTTCTTTCTTTTCAGGAATTTTAAGTACTTAGTACAACATGAGATCGAAGAAATGTCACAGAGTCTGAATGGTATTATCATCACTTTGGTCAACCAGCACTTTTGTAGGTTAAGTTAGGATTCATTTGAGGAGCAGCGCTGTGACCGATTTTTAATGATAGGTTAGGTTAGGTTAGGTTAGGTTCCAAATAGGTGGATGACTGAAACGATAATTTTACCATCTGAACTATCATGAAACCTTATGAATGCAGCCCAATAATGTAGATCGCATCCATCATTCATGAACCATGTTGATTATGATTCAGACTTAACCACTAATGGCACCTACACCCATACACACGTAAATTATTCCCAAAGTCTAGGAATCAAGCCCGTTCATTGGTTCAATAAGATGGGCAGAATGTCCCTTGCGCCTCGCCTGAATGCCGTACCAAAATTTTTAAATATCTCGCTTACATGTAATTTGTAATAGAAATGTCATAGAGAAACGTGATATAGATGGGTGAGATCTACCAATAGCAACCATTCATTTGCTAATATCTTTTGAGAGTCCACTTGTAAAATAATACCAGTTTATTTAGGTTGGGTCTAGTTAAGTTACGGCCTTTTTTTAAATAACTAAGCTATGTTTTTCCAAAGGTTTTTGGCGTGATTAGACCGTTTATGGGTATTAGTATTGTTTTGGTCATCCAGTGAATTTCAGGGGGTCGCAGGGAGAAGGTAAAGCCCCCTGGTTAGGTTAGGTTAGGTTACGGGTATTATTTCACTTGTAGCCACTCAACGAATCTAGAGAATTTTATAGTTGCAATCAGCAATTTTTACAATTTCAAGACACTTTTCTTCACTGGCATTTCTGACCCCAATTACATATAAGAGAGATATTTAACTTCTGGGTAAATTTTTACTTAAGGACATGAGTCCCTAGGGGTTGACCTATATGTTTTTCTAGTGTATTTTGGTGTTTTAAACGAATCTGACCATTTGGGGCAGAAATTTCTAGTTAGGTTAGGTTAATTTGGATACCTAAACACAGGGATGACAAACTATAAGTTTACCCATTAGTGTTGTAATTCACTCTTTGTGTGATTACCCGGTAAATTTTTACAAGTGGACAACCATGGATTTAAATTTCGGAAAAACACATTGCTCAACAACCAAAAATAACCTAATCTAGAGGTTCAGGTAAAATTGCAGATTACAGAAACCCAAGAATCTAATAATGCTAACTTACACAATATAACCTAACCTAAACCTTACTAGACCCCATTACTACCTAAACCTTACTGGACCCCCTTACTACCTAAACCTTACTGGACCCCCTTACTACCTAAACCTTACTGGACCCCCTTACCATCAATTTGCAAAGGAAGTGGAATATAAGAAAATGATCATAGAAAAAATAGATCTATCGAGTGAGTAGTTGCTGTTTACTGCAATATTACCGGTTGTCTACTAGTAAAAATATACCAATTTTCCCCCAACCTAAAGAACTTCCGGTCCCCACTAGGGTCTCACCTGGAGTCTTAGGGGTAATGGGGTTGATATCTTAAGTCATTTACATCAGAAGTTAAGGTGTAAAAAATATTTCAAAACACGATTATGGACCTTAAGGAAAAATATACCAAAATTCAGAATGGTGATCGAGTATCCAGAAAGTAAATTTGATGTAAAACCTGAACAAGTACTCACACCTCAGCCCTCACCAGCCCGTCTGACCAGTGTTGACTAAGAGACGTTTTCTGGGCCTAAAAGTTATTTGTCAATTTTATTTATAATTTGTAATTTTCCATCACTTATACGTGTCTTATTGGAATATTATGGTGGATTAATATGTGAATTTTCAAAACTCATAATTTCTATACAGTAATATTTGGACTTTGACTATTGCTTTGTTTGCAGGACAATTTTGGTCTCATTATTTTCAATACTTGATGCCTAATGCAATGAAGTTGAAAACCACGAAGTAAAAAAAAAACGTGTTTTTTTTTAGTTACTACGACCATTTTCCACTGAAAGTCAACAAATATTGAGGAAACTGATCCCTAAATTGTGGAAATAAATGATACCTGAAAATGATTTTTGTTATGGAAATCAGTTTTCTTTGGCGAGGAAAGTTATCGACTGATGATAGTATTGTCCCAAGTTAGGGTAGGGTAGGGTAGGTTAGGTTAGGTTAGGGTAGGTCAGGTCAGGTCAGGTCAGGTTATATTTGACAAAGTTTTGATCGATCAAGTTAGAAACTGGGGGGTCTGGGGGTCTGAGCCCCCAGCTATGTTTCCAGGTAAGAATTAGCAACAATTTCGGTTTCAGTTTCCTTAATATTTGTAATGTAACAGAAAAAACTGCATTATTTAATTAGTGATTCTCAACTCGGTAAATATGTATAAGTGCACCCAACTCCGTTAGAAAGTAAAATAATAAAATTTTCTAGTGTATTTGTGTGTTTAGATCGGTTACGACCTTCATTTCCGTTGGTAATTGGCCGGGGGTTTTTTTTATCGATTTTTTTGGTGGGGCGTTTACCGAAAAAAAATAATGGCTAAGCGAATACAAAAAAAAAAAACTATAAAAACAAGCCAAGGCTGAACACAACGAGGTCTGAGTAGAAGCTCAAGACCATATTTGATGATGCATCTGAGAAAACAGTCTCTCAACATTCCCATACCCACAGTAACTCCTGGCCAGGGAAGGAAGTGTAAGGTCCCAGCACAGCCACTCAAGTCAGCCACCACTTCAATATTGTGGAGGAGTACCCCAGGGCCAAGGTGTATTACCCGTAAGTGCCACTGACCCATAAAATCCTCAGACGGCGGGGGAACGCCTTCTGACACACTAATCCACTCTTTCAACTACCTCACAGTTACTGCCAACTGGGTAGGCAGCATAGATCCTGCAGCTCACCAAGCCATACACACACTGTGTTGAGAAGGAAGAGAAGCTGAGAACAGAACTAAAGGTCTTCCACACCACCTTCCCATCCATGAGGGAGATGCTCGACACACTGAAAGCAAACAGTGGCCATCTCATATTCCCAACCCTAGTTGAGATGATGAAAACCTATGCTACACTGCCTGTGTTTACAGCCACAGTGGAAAGGTTCTTCTCCAAATTGAAAAAAAAGCAAACTCAGAAGCCTCTGTAGAGAGGAGAGACTCTCTGACCTTCTTCTATTGGCAATAGAAAGATACATTGAATTAAGTCACAGCGAGGTCATAAATATATTCAAATATATGTCAACAAGGAGGATGCTCCTGTGAATCACTGATTACCTCAAGTTACATCGACTACCTCAGTGAAGGAAGAGAAAGATGTTCCTTTATCATAGTTTAGTTTTCTTTATTTATCTGTGAACATATTGGCATTTTAGCTTAATCAGCTACTGTATATCATTTACAATGATTACCTCAGTGAAGTATGAGGGATAGGTATGTTTATTTTTTTCAAACTGAGGATGAAAGAAAAGAAAAGCATATATATAATAATTATAGTAAAAGAATATGTGAAATGTTCTGTGCTCACTGTCAGTACAACACTGAATGATTTAACTTGTTTTAGCCATGGTTGAGCTGTAAAGTGGCATTCAATGACCCTGTTCCTTTAGTTTATGTTGTAAATAAATTGTCAAATAATGTTATTGTATGGCATATGTTTCTTTTACACATGAAGTTGAAATGCATATTGACAACCAGTATTTCGTAAAGAAGCAGTATGCGTATTACTTTTATTGCATATTAGCTATATTTTCATAAAAAAATTATAAACTATACCAAAATTCAAGGGACATTCATAGCAACTGCATATGGCCTCAAAATGGCCATAAAGGCTCGCTTCCCTCGCCTCCTCCCTCAGGGGATGGTGACCTTTTAGCAAACTCTCAGTCCCCCCTCTGATAGATCCTGTGCACAGCTTTGATGCACCGGCTCCTGAATGTACCTGAACCTGCTCCAGTGTTGGTTAAGTTTGGTCTTGAAATAGCTCACACACGGTGCCATCACAACACTCTCTGGCAGGTTGTTCCAGTGTACTGACCACACACAGACATGTTAGTTCACGTAAAATCAGATGATTCATGTTACACTCAATAGCCAATAAAACATGTAGCTATAATTTATTTCCTGAGTTCCCTAAATGAGACATTCGTTTTCTGTTGTCCGCTTTAGTACTCTACTGAGACGTCCGTTTTCTCTATTGTCCATTCAAAATGCGAAGAAATCTCATGTTATGTTTGTATTTTCAAAATTATAAATGAATATGTACATGTGTTACTGTAAGATATATATACCTGCTTATAGCTGAAACATTCAAGATACATTGTAAGTAATGTTGAAAGCTTCAACTGTATTTACTTTTAGGGAAATTGTCAAGTAAATCGAGTGTTAGTTTGCAATAGGAATGAGGATCCTGTCATTGCCATGTGAGACATTACGAGACTTTGATTCACCTCTGAAGTCAGATTGTTTTGAAATTATTGTCAGTTTTGTATATAAGAAAGTCATTAATCATACGAGAGAAACCCGTCAACTGCTCATTGCAATGAAATTTAACAGCTGAGCACCAATAGGCCTCTGTTGTATTTATGCCTATTCAGCACAAAGTGTTAGTGCCAGTCCACACACTGTTTGCATTACAAACTCAAACACTGATTAGTTTGTAAGTGCTAGCCTTAAGAAATAGATGTGACCCCTGAAACTTATTCTCATAGCCCAATGTGTACTGCAACCGAGTCAGTTCCTCATTTATGTCAAATTATGCAGTACTATCTGATTATCATCCTGTATATGAACAGTATATCTAATAGAAAATGGCCCATTATAGCAGTATGGTATAAAAAATTTAGCTAACATGGCTGTTGCTGACAAGAATGTGTGTTGAAGGATAAGACCGTCAAGAAGAAAAATTTCCCACTTATGGGCCAAAACTGATATTTTGGAATAACATCCCAACAATACACACTAAAGCTCAACACAGTCATACAAATTCAGTAATTTTTTATTTTGTGTTTTTTCTTGCTTTTATATTTCTCCGTACTTTAAAGGGTCCATTTATTTGTCATAGTTACTCACCAAATATTGCATCCTTGTTAGATGATTACATTGAATAGTTTTATTTTCATATTTCTAGCTTTAAGTCTTTGACACTGTCAGACTGGCACTGATTCATTTGTGTGAACCACATACAAACCCACAAAATTTCCTGGGAGGAAATTTGGTTACTAGGTCTCCCCAAAACAAGCAAAGCTGTTCTAAAAAAAACTTGGAAAGCATCCCATATGCAAATTTCTGCTTTACCCAATAAAAATATTCTTTCTAGAGATAAAGTGTACTGTCAACTTCATTTTCAGAATTACTTGTAGTACAAGTACTGTACGTACTTGTTATACGTACTGTATAGTCTAAATGAACATACCTATACTACCTGTACTGTATAATATAGAGAAAATAAGTTTATCAAATGAATAGATAGTATAGTATTCTTTAACTGTATTACATGTGCCAATTTCCCAATAATTTAATTAAGATGAGTGACTTAGTCACTATTGAATTTTGATTTATTTCTCATATTTTTCCTGGGAAAAGTAGCTTTACAGAATTCATGAGGTACAGTAATAATGCATTGCACTAAAGCATTTGCATGGCAGCAAATTCCTGCAATCTGTATTTCTTTAAATATAACTGAAGAATTGAAGTATGAAATCCCATTTTATAACTGAAGGGAAGACATGGGTAACCTATGAAATCAATGATATTAGTACACCCTCTGGTCTAATCTGCCTAATGCCAGGCTGCCTCGGAATGTTCAAAGACGGGTCACATTATCCAGACAAACAAGGCATGATAACATAACTGCTGTAAGCAGCACTTTCTAACCTATATGAACCAAATCGGGTACAGGTTATCCCTTGCTTAGCGATCAGGATGTGTTCCTGAAAAACCAATTGTTTAGTGAAATCATCACTAAACGAGGGAAAATGCGAAATATTTTACTTTTAATTTTATCCTCTTTGCCACTGATTGGCTCGTTAGCCACTTGGTAATTCGGTCACCTCTGTTACGCACTGTTGGCAAGTACTCCATTAAGATGGCATGTAATTTTGTGACTCAGTTGCCGACTCCCCACCCAGTAGCATTCAGAGTAGGTAAGGCTGAGCCATGAGCTATGTTATTGTTCAACTCGTAATTTAGGGTAGATAGACACAATTCTCCATTTTCATTTATACAGAATGTGCACCCCCCGCCCCCCCCCCCCAAAAAAAAAAATCAACAAAATAATCATATGGTCAAACACATACGGGTAATAAACATTTCTTATGTGCTCGGCATTTAACCTACAGAGCGAGGGAGGAGCGTGGGGAATCTCTCAGCTGTTCTCCGACTTGTGTCCCATGAATTGATTGCCAAATGTTAACAGAACCTTACATCGACTGGAGCGAGGAATTATTATCGAGGCGACATCGCAAGATGTGAAGAGTCCTATTATTGGCCTTAACAATGAGGGTATATGTAATGCCGATATGGCACAGCAAACTGGGGTTAGCGAGCCCACAGTATCACGATGGGTTAGGTACCATGAAACAACTGGTGCCACACTGAAACTTACACTCACAAATGTCTTACTATAGGTGGGCGGGGGGTTCTGTTGCCTACAAGTCCCTTGATTTTAAACCTTATTTCGGTGTTAAATCAATGCAATTTATAGATCATTAATACGGCAGATCCCCTGTAGACCGATATAATGCTGTAGCTGTTCACTCTA